ATGGGTTGCAATTGTTTGAGGATTTTCCGTACAGGTTCAAGGGAGGGGTGATACGTCATAACCAGCAGTGTGCGATTTGTGGGGGTTTTTCTTCTGTACTGCAGCAGTTCTTCATGTGGTATCCAAGTGGCTTTTTCAAACGTGTGATCTACCTCTCTGGAGGAGTGTCCTTGTTGGGTGAAAGCCTTTTTAAGATTGGGGAGGTGGCGATCCCGGGTGTTCTCTTCAGTGCAAATTCGGTGGTATCTGAGGGCTTGGCTGTATATCACTGCTTTTTTGGTGTGTTTCGGGTGATTGCTGGTTCTGTGCAGATATGTATGATGGTCTGTGGGTTTCTTGTATACTGTGGTCTGTATTTTACCCTTCTGGATACTGATCCTTGTGTCTAAAAAGGGGATGTTGGTGCTCGAGTATTCTAAAGAAAGTTGGATGGAGGGATGGTGACTGTTGAATTTCTGGTGGAACTCAATCAGAGATTGCAGGTTCTCACTCCAAATGATGATGTCATCGATGTATCTTAGGTATAGTAAGGGTTTGATGGCGCAGTTCTTGAGGAAGTCTTCTTCCCGGTGGCTCATAAAAAGGTTGGCATACTGTGTGGCCATTTTAGTGCCCATAGCTGTTCCCATCATCTGGAGGAAGTGTTGATTATTAAAAGTGAAATTGTTGTGCGTGAGGATGAAGCGTATAAGCTCAGTGATATCTTTGGTAATATCATATTAGGGTGGCATTTTTGTGTTCATACTGCCTAAAGATTTTTTTTACACACAAAGACAACGTTTGGGAACCCAGGTGCGCTCTGCTTCAATTTGAGGCCCAAGACCCTTGCGTAAAGATCCACACTTACCAGCCAGCTTCTCCGTCTTAATTTTTGCAGACCAATATTTTACCTCAATGGAAAGTATGATTCGAATACAAAACAGGCACAAGAAGAAACAGAGTCAAAAGCCCACCCTGTACCTGCTGTACGGTGAACCCGTGGATTTGTTCACCTATCGCGTACTGTAGGGCTCTTTCATGAACAGAACTGCTCCTCCACCTCCAGGACTTGTGATTGAGGGGTCGGAAACTGAAATGACATTTTCCTTAATTAAAAAAAAAAAAAAAAATCGCAACAGCAAAGGCAGGATTATTTCCTCTCCCTCCCCCTCGTTTGTGTTTTTTCAGTAGCAGAAAGTCCTGGGGAGATGCAAGACAGCACCCCGAGACAAGTGCCCACTTCACCTCCAAGCCCTGCCTAGAAAAGAGCAGAGAGGAGGGGAGCCCACTCCAGCCCCGCTCGGGAGGAGCCCGAGCCCCCGCACGGCTCCCCGCAGTACCGCGCGGAAAAGCCCAACAGTGGCCGGCCCGGGCGGCGGGGACACCGCACCTCGCCCGCTAGCTCGGAGCGAGCCGGGCACGGGGGCACGGCGGGGATCGCGGTCTCCAAGACAAACGTCCCCGCTCAGCCCAACCCCGGCGGGCCGGGCTCACGGGGGTCCCGGGCGCAGACAGCCCGGGCCGGGCGGCGGGGAGCCGGGATGGGACTGGAGGGACGAGCGGGGGTCCCAGGGCAGGCCGGGCCAGAGGCGGTTACGGGGGGGCAGCGGGGGGGGGGGGGGGCGGGGGC